GGAAGACGGCCCTGGGCTAACATCTGTGCCCATCTTCCTCCACTTTATATGGGACACCGCCACAGCTGCATGGCTTGCCAAGCAGTGCGTTGGTGCGCGCCCGGGATCCGAACCAGCGAACCCCGGGCCGCCGCAGCGGAGCGCGCGCACTTAACCGCTTGCGCCACCAGGCCGGCCCCTACCCATATATATTCTTGAAGAATGATTCCAAGCAGCAAATGTTTTAGTTTAAGATAGTGGGTGGGACCAAAGAACCCAAACTGATCATTTGCTTTAGGTTTTTTTTTTTTGTTTTATTTTAAATCATTGAATAATGCTATTCAATTGAGTTTAGTAATGAAGGTTTTCTAATATAACTGTTAGTTAACATGAGATGTGTGGTAAAACAGCATTATATAAAATAGAAAGTTTGATTAAAAAATACAAAAGACCAGACTACCTATAATCGTTTTTACACACATCAAAAAATAAGAATGATTTGAGCACGTTCTTTACTATTTACTTACTCCAGCAGTAGATGGATGAGACGGGATAGAGGATACCGTTGTCTGTTGGGTGGCAACTGAAGATGACCGTTGTTGGAGCTCTACGGTTTTTGCATGTTTGTAAGCTGAAAGGAAGGGAAAACAGTTGATGAGAAGAAAACGTGGCTATTTAACACCATTTAATCTGTTTAGCAGCTGAGCAGTGCTCTTTCCCTAATTTAATAACAATGATTTCCAAAGAAGGAGGCATGAAAATGCAACATCTAACTTCATGTACCTCTTCACAATTCTAGTCCTTTCTCATTAGAAGAAAGGATCCAGATCTTTTTTTTGTTTTTCTTCCCCAAATCGTCTCTTATAGTAACCTCCGGTGAGCGGGCCGGCCATGGAGGTCATGGTCAGCACCATCCAGCTGTACCTGCTGAGGCTGCAGAGAAGATGCCCCCGTCGCTGTAGGTGGAGAGGCGGTGGTCGGCAGCTTCTGAATGCTCAGACTTCTCCTCGCCGCCGCTGACGCTCAGCGCGCTGGCGGATCGCGACTGCTCCCGGCTCCGGCGCTGAGCTTGGACTGGAGGAAGTGAGATTGCCAGAGGGAGCGGAGGTGAAACTTCTAGAGCACAGCAATTGAACCTCAGTTGGTGTTTGTGTGTTTATTTGTTACCAAGCATGGTTTTAAGTAGATTTTGATGGATTAAATGCTCAAAACTCTTAGGAGGCGGTGCCATCTTCATTTTCCAGATGAAGGTTTAAGTAAATCACCAAAGTTCACAGGACAGTGAAGGGGTACAGTCAGGCTTCAAATCCTGGAGTCTGTGCTTGACCGCTACTCCTTCCCTCCACCCTGCCCATTTTCACGGCTTACCAAAATGAATAGATTGTAATTTTCACATTCAAGCTCCACCTTCAACCTCTCCAGAAAGTTCTCCCTAACTTCCAAATTAATTTAGATGCCTTTTCTTGGTGTTTCCACAATCTGTGTGCAAACCTTTAAAATTGCACGTGTCAGGGTGTAACTACTGATTTTCTCGTCTCTCTTCGTCAGTAGTCTAGAGTATAAATCTTTTGAGGACAGGCACTACATATTATTTTATAATACGAATAGAAGGCATCAAGGCATGCAGCCTATTTTGTTGAATGACATCTTCCTTGCCATAAGAGAGTTCGGAACGTCGCTCAAGGTCAAATCCATTCTCTTCACTCTGCCTATGTATTTTTTTTTCATTATTTATCCAATAGAAAGATGTACTACTTTTTTTCTTTAGGAATAAAAATGATAATAATGAGGCCTGGAGAGGATTTACTCTGAGGCAGTGAAACGATCTTTCCCTAACTTGAACTTGTCTAGAAAATGAGTTTGGCCCGCTAGTCATGCTGAATGGGCGACTCAGGAAATTGAAAACCGTGGAAGAAAGGAACCTCAGAGACTGAAAGTCATTGACTCTAGCCCACTAAATGATAAGCCTTTTTTGGCATAACATACCATTAAGCATGTGTAAGCTTCGGGATTGAATGTTGTCTTCTGCTGGATCATAGTCAAACACTGAGCCAGGATTAGTACGCCAGACACGTAAACCTGAAAGTGAGATTAAGGATCAGAACAGATGTTCTTGGACTCTTTCAATAACTTGGAAACCAAGCCATGAACTTAGCCAGAGGAGGACTGAATAACACGAATTTAGCTTAGCTTCTAGTCATGTCTTCTCCTCAGAGGAGATCAAAGCATAAGGCAGAAGAGATGTCAGCTTTGCAAACTGTGAAATAACAGAGGTTCTTTCACACCTAATGAAAACACAGGTTGAGGTCCTCTATCCTTTGCCTTGCTGTAGATAATGTCTGTTCTTCTACTGCCCTTAAAGTTGATTTCCCCTACTAGGCCTCAGTTACCTGTAATAGTTTCCTGATCCTGGTCGTTCCGTTTTTGTTCCATTTCTACCACTTTTCTCTGAATACCTCGGTAGGTAATGTCACTGAAGTCCTGTGTGTTCTTCTTTACTCGTTCAGTGATAGGGTCTGTCACCACTGGTGTGAAGCATCCCTTGTGTTTCTCAAAGTCTTCATGATATTTCACCTGAAATTTCATGAATTCACTTTGTGAAAACATGATGGTGTGATTATTTCCTCTTTTATATGTTCCAACAGGCTGGCCAACCAATACTAAAGAATTCCTGACTCACCGCTGAGATGTTGCGTTGGGTCTCCCTCACCCGTCTCATCTCTGGGGTGTCCAAGACATAGGCAGCTCTGCCTTGTATTTGTTTCCGGAAGCTATCAGAATAAAGAACCTGATGGAGGAAAGACCATGAATGAGTACAGGTCATGGTACTATCCTAATTCTGAAGCCTCATAACCTTTCCAACAGATGGTGATACAAGGAGCTGGGGAGGGAAGCTTGAGTCAACTGAAAGGACCCAGCGAGACCCAAGACTAACAGTGGAACAGGTTAGCATGAAGATGGATGGGCAGGGCTCGCATCAGGAGAGAAAGAATTTGTTTTGACTTTGAAAATGTAATTTTCATTTTCAAAGGAGAAGGGGTGCAGTATAATTGTGAAGGGAAAGGGAAGAAAGCGGTCTCTTGAATTTGCTGGGAATTGTAGCACCAGCGTATTGGACAGTATTTGGCGCTAAATGTGATACTGACATTCAAAAGAACTATCATTTTTCATAGGTTTATGTCCAGATTTCATAAACCAATATGCTAATACAGAAATCCAAGTCCTCCAGACACGAAAAACCCGAAATATCAAAGCCAAAGAAGGCATCCATTTCAGAGTATTACCTGTTTCATAGAGTACCTTAAAAATAAGGAGCAGAAGACGGAGCATGTTAGGAAGTCAATTTGCTACAGGTGGTTAAGTAAGACTACCTTAGAGTAAAGTAAAAGGGAGAGAAAACATTGGCAATTAACTGGTTATGTCTTAGTATGATCATTTGGAATTTAAAAGCACAGTTGTGTTAATTTTAGTGTAAATTTTCAGTTGACTAAGGAAGTGCACATTTTTATGGTGTTAAAATGTTATTTTCCAAGAGGTTGCATTTCTCTTTTTTCATTTTAGTACGTTTTCCAGTTGAATGAGAAAGGCACGTTTTTATGATGTTAAAATGTTATTTTCCAAGTTTTTGCACTACTCCTTTTTTTAATCCTAGAAAATACCGAGCTAATGTTTTCTTGGTTGCGCTTAGCTCTCTCCATCTCTGGAGTGACAGGTGTCGAAGTTGCTTTTCTCATATTCTCTTTGTACAATACCTAGAGGAGCCAAGAGAGCATCCAGACATCAGAGAGCAGAAAACAAATTCTGAAAACCGTCATCTAGCTGGGGTTATGGCTCAACTATATCACACTGTGTAAGAAACACCTCAGGAAGATAAAGCCATTAAAATGTTATTGTATAAAGCAAAAGGTGAAGAAAGAATTCAATCAGTTTGAGCTGGTGGGGTTGGGAGGTTGTTTTTAAGTGGGTAAAAAAGAATTTTAAAAGATAAACAAAAGTTTTGGGGGAACTGTGAGATAAATTAGTGGTATAACCATGTTTGCCACGCTTGTTAAAAGTGTAACAATTTCTTTTTCCCTCTCTGAAATACCGAGCTAAAGTTTTCTTGATTGCGTTTGACTCTTTCCATCTCGGGAGTAATGGGTGTGGGGGTGGCTTTCCCCAGGTTCTCTTTGTATAACACCTGTGAGATACAAAGTTGGACCCAAAAATCACTAGGAGGCAATATTCAGGCTATTAAATAGAATGCAATTTAGGGGAGAAAACTCCAGGTTTGATCTATTACTATTAGTGAGAACAGCTCTCAAGAAGAAAGCCTAAAAAACAGTTAATGGCAATGGTAAGTGTAGTATGTCATTTAGAGGAGATTGTAAAAAACTGGCATTTTGTTTGTTTTTAACCCGGGGTGGAGTTAGGAGCAGGCCAAACTGCAGGGGTTACTTGGCAAAATTAAAAGCGCTTTCATTTCTCAAGACAATACCGAGCTAATGTTCTCTTGATTGCGTTTGACTCTCTGCATCTCTGGAGTGACAGGGGTTGGGGTGCCTTTCCCCACAGTTTCTTTGTACAAAACCTATGCGAGTCCAATGGATCCAAAAAGCCAAAAAGAAAAAGAAGAATTACAGTTACCAAAAGATTAGACGGAACAGATAATTTGTTACGAGGCTCAGGGCGCCAAACCATTTGGGCAATGAGGTTAGATGGAAAAAAATATGTTTCCAAAGGAAATTAAGTGTATTTACAGCAAGACACACATTTCTAGGGTAGGACCCTGCCCTGAAATCCTTGCAGCCTGCAAGACAGAACCGCAGTGTGCCCAAAACGGATGAAAGACCACGTTTGCTCTATGGCTAGTCTATGAATTTCAAGCACCGGACAGATCATCTAAACAGGACTTAGGGGCCTGGGCTTGAATGACATTCAGAAGGTGGAAGCTGTTCCCTATATAGCAGTGGGGGACTGGACCTTTTTGCAGGACTTAAACTCACATAGACACATCAGTAAAATCGTGGGCCCTCAACCAAGAAAAGGATGTCTCCTACTCTTTTTTTCTTACTATTATCTGTGCTCTGCCTCTTGCTTTAGTACAACATCAAACTGATCAGAAAGGCACAATGTTTTCAGCAATTATATCACTATCATGGTAAATCAACAGGAAATATAGTAACGCACCATGACAAATCCTCAACCTCAATGTCTCGCCTCAGTGTCATTTTTGGGGACACAGGAGGTTTGGGAAATGCCATTCAATAGGCAGAATTCTGTAAAAGTAGTGGTTCTCAAAGTGGAGTCCTGGACAGCAAGGTCACTTGAGAACTAGCTAGGAATGCAAATATTCTGGCCCCACTCCAGATCTACAGAATGAGAAATTATGGGGGCAGGATCCAGCAGTCTGGTTTAACAAACTCTCCAGGTGATTCTGATGCACACTCAAGTTTCAGCAGCACTGCACTCAAGTATTGGAGAAACCTGCAGACAGTGTAGATGTGGAGGGCCACAAGGTTCTTCATTACGTAAGCTAATGTCACCCCCACACAAACCCCCATCCCCCGGTAATCTATAAACATGTATAATATCACATAGCACAGAAGCACAGGAAATGGTTTACTAAAGTTAGCAGTGAAAGACCAAGATAAAGACAAAAAAACTAGAATTGGTAAAACAAAAAGCAGTTCGAGTGACACGTTCTTTTTTAAGTAAATTAATAATCATTTGCCAAAACCACTACCGGATCTTAATTTATGTCATTATCCCTGAAGGAGAGGATCAGGGGTTATTTTTTTCCCAAGGTCTCTTTGTCCAAATCTGACAGAGCAAATTAGAACCTAAAGTCATAGGTGCAAAAACACAACAAAATCACAATTCCAACGTTCCAGAAAGATCCCAATTACACCTATCATGCCACCCCCAAATTTCATGTGTATATAAAACAAAGAGACCTTGGGGGGTAGTGGATAGAGAGTAAGTTTGGGGAGACATGAGCAAAAGGATGTTTTATTGGAAAATCCGTTACTTCCTGATATTAGAACTTTCAATTATGGATTAAAGCAATCTTGTTATTATGGGGTTAAGGCCAGGAGTAGCCCTATAGTAAGGAAGGATAAATGTGATAAAGAAAGTCACAAAACTTAAGTTGTCTTTAAAAAGTAGGATTAATATGTATTATTTTAAATCATTAAAGAAGTAGTTTTTTCTTTCTTGCCAAAGTACCGAGCTAATATTTTCTTGATTGTGTTTGACTCTCTCCATCTCGGGAGTGACAGGTAAAGGGGTTCCCTTGCCCATGTTTTCTTTGTATAACACCTGTGTGATGAGAAAGCATCCAGAAAAACAACCGTAAGTAACATTTCATTTGTTTTGCGATTTTAAGGGGGAGTTCAACTTCCTTGCTACCAAATGACACAGTAGTTCAAGAAGCCAGGAGTTATATGCTGATAAGATGCCACGTATTACTTTAATGGCAGCCATTCTTGGGATGGGGAAACTGACTCTCTAGGGCAGTAAGGACTCAGCTGCTGGGGAAAGACTGTCAGAGTTATCCATGTTATTTTTTCATTTCTATGAGCATGGTACCTCCTAAACAATCACATGGGGATTTGAGATGGTTAGAACTCAGTTTTGCTGTTATCCAAGCGAACTAAAAGACAAGTGGTTTTTTAAAAAATATTTTAAAATACCAGGTGGAATAGAAATCAGAGTTAACTCAAATAAAAAATAATAGAATCCATAGTAGTATTATAGAAATGCAAAAGTATGTCCATTTGCTAAGTGAGGTATATTAGAAGCAAAGGAAAGGAAGTGGGTTTAAAAAAAGAATAGATGTTAAGTATCAATTTAACTATAGGTTAAATGACATCTTTTCCCTTTCTCTCCAAAATACCGAGCTAAGGTTTTCTTGATTGTGTTTGACTCTCTGCATCTCAGGAGTGAGGGAGATTGGAATTCCTGTCCCCAGGTTTTCTTTGTATAGCACCTGTAGGATAAGACAGCATCCAGAACAAAAAGAGCAATCAACCACTTTCACTGTCTTGTGGAGCAGTTGGGAATAGAAGGGCAAAGAGGAAGAGAGCAAATTAGAGGAAGGGAAATACCAGAAGCTTCTAGATCCAACCTGTATGAGCCTAGAGACATCTTTAAAAGCAAAGAAATGCAGGAAAGAGCAGCAAAAACTAAGAGATAGGAAAGGAAAGTTTAGTTATTTTTGTTGTTTGAACTAATCTCTGCAGCGCTGAGTGACGGAGAGCACCATGAAAGGGAACAATTAGTCCCCCCAGCTTGTTATGAGGAAGGAAAAAATAAAAAGGGCAAGAGACAGAAGGAGAGCCAAGGAAGTTATTTTTGATTTGGAAATGTTATTGATAAACCACATAAGGACATTTGGGTTTTATAAACATTGCATATATGAAGATACATACACACAAATCTTCTTTTGTCAACTTTCAAAAGAAGTCAAAGTATTTAATTTTTAGTTCGGGTGAACATATTGGGAAGAATTAATTATTTTTAAGGCAAATGGAGAGCAATGACAAGATGCTAAATAAAGAAACTTGAAAATATCTGTACAAATGCCAATAAGGATAGAGAAGGTTAGAATAGGAAACGAGGTCAATAGTCTGATCTTTGCAGAATAAATTTTTGTAAGTTTTACATTCAGTTCAAATTTGCCAAAGCAGGATAAACGTGGGTGCTTAGACATCGAGAATGTTATGTTTTTAAAGGCTGGAATATACTACTGAACACTTTTTTAAAAAAAAGTCAAATGATTACATTAATATTTAACCAAAATGGGAAAACTGATTCATACGAAATGGCAGCATTAAGTTGCAAATAAGACATGTCAACGTTTTTATTGGAATAAGCTGATTAGATTTTAAAATATAGCCATTAATCTTTTTAAACGTTTTAAAAATAAAGGGATTTTTTTTCGTTTAAATACCGAACTAAAGTTTTCTTGATTGTGTTTGACTCTCTCCATCTCTGGAGTGATGGGAATCGGGGTCCCTTTCCCGAGGTTTTCTTTATACAATACCTGCATGACACAAGAAAGCATCCAGAAAAAACAAGAGCAGTCAAAACAGCCCTTTCTTCTACCTTGTAGGGAACCTCGTATGAGACTACAGACATCAAACAGGAAGGACATTCACTGAGTCGACCTGTCTTTTCCAGCACAGATCTGGATGAGAACACATTCCATATTTCCTTAGCTAAAGTGCCAGTGTATTTGATGTTCAAGTTTTACACTAACTCATATATTAAATGTTTCCTCTGTCAGGAATTAAGGAAAAAAATACAAATAATTTTATAAGAGCACTTAAATTTTATAATATAAGAGCACTTAGTGTACAACAGAAAGATTATTTTTTAAGATTATTTTTAATTAGATTGGCAAATATTTTTTTCCCTACACAGAACATCTGTTTTACAGAATAACATATATTTAAAACCCCAGACCAAATCTATGCAATATGACAAAATTGGGTTTCATTGAGTAAAATCAAGTTGTAAAAAAGTGGTCAAGTCTAAAAGTCAATGTTTTAATACATAGTACTGTTTATTTCCCATAGTATCTTAAAGGCTCTCTGCACACACCTAAATGTGCATACAATTTTGCCTAAATGCAATCTGTGTAAAAATTAATACAAATGGTTACTTTAAAAAAGAAATTGTCCAGGATCATTAAGATCTCAAGTAGATATATACAATAATATACTTACTCTAATATAGAAGAAAATAATTAAAAAATAATTTTTAAAATTAATGTAAACCTTTCTAAAGAAAGGAATAATAATAATAATAATAATAAACCCACAGGGAAAACAGTGACTATACCATTCCAAAAGTAATATTAACTTACAATGAAAATTTAATAAAATTAAAAGATTGTTAGTGAATAGTAATTAAAAACAAAGGAAAACAAAACAAAAAGACAGTGGGACCAAAGAAAGTTACTGATCTAACTCTGTGAAAGAATCAAACTTTCAGAAAATGTTTAAACTGACAATTAAAAAATATTTTGGTTCCAACCTCCCCCACCCCCTAAAAAAAATCCAGCTCAATTTTCCTGACATTTGATTCTGCATCTCAAGTATAAGTGAATCTAAGATCCTTATATAGAAGTTTCACAGACTATTATAGAGTTTTTCAGCAACAACAATATTAATAAAAGAGAAAATAAAGTTAAATATAAACTCATTATCTGATTTGTGTATTTAAAAAAAGTCAGAAGGTCTGGATTTCTGCTCGTGGAATGGCTTATTTAGGACAGGTATCAAGATAAGATTGCTTTGGGTTCTGACACTGAGCGATTTTCTTTCTCAGTGCTGCTGTTTATCCAGACAGGATGGATGTGAAGGTAACCCCTGTTCCCAAGAAAGAGACATATTTCTATATGTGCCATCGAGTACTGTCTTTTCTTGCAACACTAACCCAGAAACAGTAAATAAAAAAGTTCCAAGTAATTAAGAGCTACATGGGTTTTTTTTGAACACCAATTAAATTGAAAAATCCCAGAAGTAAGATAAAAGGTGAGACGAGAAGGAAAGAAACCAATTAAAAGTTTTAAGGGACTATTATAGAAAGTATAACATGTTAGAGTCAAATGGTGAGTAAAAGATCCCGAAAACAGAAGGATTCAGTTGATGAGATTTAAAAAAAAAAGAATTTGTTAAATTGATTATTTTAAAGGGACTAATAGTGAGAACTTTTGTTTTATGGAAAGGTATTATTGTTTTTTTAATATGGAGTTAAAGGAGCTTTCTCCCAAATACCGAGCTAAAGTTCTCTTGATTGCGTTTGACTCTCTCCATCTCAGGAGTAACAGGCAGGGGGGTCCCCTTGCTCAAGTTTTCTTTGTACAAAATCTGTGTGCACAAAACCAACAGTCAAATCAGCCTGGACCCACCCTTTAGGTAGACTTTTAAAATAGTCTCTAAAAGTATTTTTGTTTGTTTTCATGATGATGTAAAATAGGCCTAAATAACTTTAAGAAATAGAACAAGTATAGACCATCTTTGGACAATGTCTGTCTCTAAGTGGCATCAATACAGACACAGCTACCAGGCTGCAGGCAAGAATCACTTACTTACATAGGCCTTCTCTCAAAGACAGAAGGATTAGGCCTTATTAAATAGCATTCAAGTTAACTGAAATTAATATCCATAATGAGTTGTTGATAACTCTAAATTAGGGAGCCAAAAAGAGACAGAGAGAGAGAGGAAGTTTTGGGGGAATAACATAAATATTAATAAATCTTAAAGGCTAAATAAATATTAGCTTTCAATGACCCTGAAAATATTCCAAAGGAAAGCTCATTTATATCTTGCCTGGTACAAGAAAATAGCTGAGGCAAGTAAGTTTGTATTTCTGAGTTATTGTGAATTGCTATGTTGTCTTTTGAATGAAAATGTTTAAGAATCACATTCTTTTAAGAAAAGCTGCAAACACAAAATATACACCAGAGTCACAATAAATACAAATAGAATTCCAATTCACATTGTCCATTTTGAAGGGGTGTTAGATTTTACTTTTGACTTGTGCCACACCAGTTAGAAACACCTAGTGTTACTAGAGGAGGAGTTGAGGAAGGAAAGACTGAGTATTACAGGTTTTTAAGGAAAGGGATCAATAGCTATGTTTCAGGAAAACTACAGTCAAGATTTCACACCAGAACTAAAGTAAATACTAAAATTAGATTTGGGTTGAAAACTGAGGTAATATTTGGTATCATAATTTTCATTATATGAATTTAGTAATTTTACAGGAAGAAATATCCTATGTTTGTAATGTGTTAAAAATATTATTTTGAAGGATTAAGGGATTTTATTTTTTGCCCCCTAAGAAATACCGAGCTAAAGTTCTCTTGATTGCGTTTGACTCTCTCCATCTCAGGAGTAACAGGCAGGGGGGTCCCCTTGCTCAAGTTCTCTTTGTACAAAATCTGTGTGCACAAAACCAACAATCAAATCAGCCTGGACCCATCTTTTAGGTAGATTTTTAAAATAGTCTCTAAAAGTATTTTTGTTTGTTTTCATGATGATGTAAAATAGGCCTAAATAACTTTAAGAAATAGAACAAGTATAAACCACCTTCGGACATTTAGTCATACACAGCACGATGTCTGTCTCTAAGTGGCATCAATACAGATATAGCTGCCAGGCTACAGGCAGGAATCACTTACTTACATAGGCCTTCTCTCAAAGACAGAAGGATTAGGCCTTATTAAATAGCGTTCAAGCTAACTGAAACTAATATCCATATTGAGTTGCTGGTAACTCTAAATTAGGGAGCCGGAAGAGACAGAGAAAGAGAGAGAGAAAGGTTTGGGGGAATAGAAAAAATATTGATAAATCTTAAAGGCTAAATAAATATTAGCTTTCAATGACCTTGAAAATATTCCAAAGGAAAGCTCATTTATATCTTGTCTGGTACAAAAATATAGGTGAGCCAAGTAAGTTTGTATTTCTGAGTTACTGTGAATTGCTATGTTGTCCTTTGAATGACAATGTTTAAGAATCACATTCTTTTAAGAAAACCTACAAACACAAAATATACACCAAACAGAGCCACAATAAATACAAATAGAACTCCAATTCACATTGTCCATTTTGAAGGGGTGTTAGATTTTACTTTTGACTTGTGCCACACCAGTTAGAAACACCTAATGTTACTAGAGGAGTATTTGAGGAAGGAAAGGCTATTACAGGTTTTTAAGGAAAAAGATCAATAGCTATGTTTTAGGAAAACCACAGTTAATATTTCACACCAGAATTAAAGTAAATACTAAAATTAGATTTGGATTGAAAATTGAGGTAATATTTGGTATCATAATTTTCATTATATGAATTTAGTAATTTTACAGGAAGAAATATCCCATGTTTGTAATGTGTTAAAATATTATTTTAAATAAGAATTAAGGGATTTTATTCTTTGCCCCTTAAGAAATACCGAGCTAAAGTTCTCTTGATTGCGTTTGACTCTCTCCATCTCTGGAGTGACTGGCAGGGGGGTCCCCTTGCTCAAGTTCTCTTTGTACAAAATCTGTGTACACAAAACCAACAATCAAATTAGCCTGGACCTATCTTTTAGGTAGACTTTTAAAATAGAATTGTAAGCGACCATAAGTGAGGCCATCTTGTTACGCTAAATGGCCCCAGCCCCTCCTCCGTGTGACTACTCGCTGCTCTGCCCGTACTCTAAAAAATTCACATGTTTTCCTGATTTATGGCCTCTGCTTACGTATGTACTCCCCAATAGCCTGATAAATTAAAACTTTGTTCTATGAGTTTTTCTCCAGGAACAGTCTGACCACAGGCAGGAAACACACCTCCAAGGTATCCATCACCGATGACAGAAGAATGGAACAATGTGATGCCTGGAGCCCATCATGCCTGGAGACCAACATCCCTGGACCCCCTCCTTACTTCCCATTTTCCCTATATAACTGCCTCAAGATTCTATAATCCTGGAAGATGGGTGTTTTGAGACATTAGTCACCTGTCTTCTGATTTGCCAGCTAATCTAATCTAATTAAACTTCATTCTCTATCCCTAACTCATTGTGATTAATTGGCTCAGATCGTGGCAAGCAGAGCAAGCCCACTGCTGGGTAACTGTCTCTAAAAGTATTTTTGTTTGTTTTCATGATGATGGAAAATAGGCCTAAATAACTTTAAGAAATAGAACAAGTATAGACCACCTTTGGACATTTAGTCACACACAAGATGATGTCTGTCTCTAAGTGGCATCAATACAGACACAGCTGCCAGGCTGGAAGCAGGAATCACTTACTTACATAGGCCTTCTCTCAAAGACAGAAGGATTAGGCCTTATTAAATAGCATTCAAGTTAATTGAAATTAATATCCATAGTGAGTTGTTGGTAACTCTAAATTAGGGAACCAAAAAGAGACAGAGAGAGAGAGAGAGAAAGGTTTGGGGGAATAAAATAAATATTGATACATATTAAAAGCTAAATAAACATTAGGTTTCAATGACCCTGAAAATATTCCAAAGAAAAGCTCATTTATATCTTGCCTGGTACAAAAAAATAGCTGAGCCAAGTAAGTTTGTATTTCTGAGTTACTGTGAATTGCTATGTTGTCTTTTGAATGAAAATGTTTAAGAATCACATTCTTTTAAGAAAAGCTACAAACACAAAATACACACCAAACAGAGCCACTATGAATACAAATAGAATTCCAATTCACATTGTCCATTTTGAAGAGGTGTTAGGTTTTACTTTTGACTTGTGCCACACCAGTTAGCAACACCTAGCGTTACTAGAGGAGGATTTGAGGAAGGAAAGACTGAGTATTACAGGTTTTTAAGGAAAGGGATCAATAGCTATGTTTTAGGAAAACCGCAGTTAAGATTTCACACCAGAACTAAAGTAAATACTAAAATTAGATTTGGGTTGAAAACTGAGGTAATATTTGGTAT